TTTAGTTTCCTTATTTTAATTTAATTTTAATTTATTTTTTAATTTTTTTCGTCGCGCTGCTGATGACGTCAGGTACGCGATTTCGTCGAGCGCGGTTTTGTCGACCGCGGTTTTGACGGGTCACGTAATTTTATCTGACAATTTAAATTTATTTCTTGCAGTTCCTTTACATCACTTCTACCAATTATTGCTACTGGTATGTAAAATGTAGAAAATGAAAGAACCATACTTTAAAACTAAGATAAGGAAACTAAAACAAGATAAAGCTATAAGAGCCACTCTGATTTGGGAGTTAATGCTCCTATCTAGAAATCAGGAGACTGTGAATTGTAGTCCAACCTTAGGCATAAAAGCTGGATGAGTGACTTTAGACCAGTCATTCTCTCTCAGTCCAACCCACCTTAAAGGATGTTGTTGTGGGAAAAATAGGAGGCTGAAGGAGTATTCGGTATGTTCGCCATTTTGAATTATTTATAAAAACACAACTAGTCCTTGACTTACGACAATTAAGCCCAAACTTTATGTTGCTATGTGAGATAGTTATTGAGTTTTTATAACCTTTCTTGCCGTGGTTGTTAAATGAATCACTGCACTTGTTAAGTTAGTAACACGTTTGTTGAATGAATCTGGCTTCCCCATTGTCTTTGCTTGTCAAAAGGTTACAAATGGTGATCCCATGACCCCAGGGCACTGTAATTGTCATAAATATAGGCTAATTGCCAAATATCTGGATATTGATCACATGACCACAGAGATGTTGCAATGGTTGTTAAAGGTGAAAAATGGTAATAAGCAATTTTTTTTCACAGCAACTCTGAATGATCACTAAATGAACTGTTATAAGTTGAAGATCATTCATTCGAATTAAGACCTGGCTGATGGTAAAAATGTGAATCTACAAAAAAACCCTCTATTTTTTATATCTTAATAAAATGAAACCTTTCCATATTCCAGCATAATATCCAAGTATTTCTTCCTAAAAGGTAAATGTAAAAGTTTCCCTTGCACGTGTGCTAGTCCTTCCGAATTCTAGGGGGCGGTGCTCATCTCCATTTCAAAGCCAAGATCCAGCACTGTCCAAAGACGTCTCCGTGGTCATGTGGACGGCATGACTAAACACCGAAGGAGCATGGAATGCTATAACCTTCCCACCAAACGTGGTCCATATTTTTCTACATGCATCTTTACATGCTTTCGAATTGCTAGGTTGGCAGAAGTTGGGATAAGTAACGGGAGTTCACTCTGTTATGCGACACTAGGAATTCGAACCACCAAACTGCCAACCTTTCTGATCGACAAGCTCAGCATCTTAGTCACTGAGCCACCATGTCCTTTAATATCAAATGGAAATTTAATATCAAATGGAATATTAACAACCTGTTACTTATTGTTACTACCTTGTGATCTCTAGAGCTGGAACACAAGCACCAGGTCTGTATGCAGAACTTCCTCGGTACTCCTTTGCAAAGATAAAGTCTTGCATGCTAGCCTTCCCTTCTAATAATTTCATGCATTGATTTTGCACATATTGCTTGATATGACTTATATCACGTGTTTCAAATAGTAGCTTAATGGAACGCTCAAGTATCTGGAAAAGAAAAAGAAAGCATGTTTTCAGTTGTCCTTTCAAAATTAATTTAAAGATACTTGAAATTTGGCAACATTACTGCACTTGTGTATCAAATGCTCTGGGCAATTTACAAGGAAGTCATCCTTCCTTTTACAATTGGTACTTTTGTCAACCAAAGAATGAACCCGCTAACAAAAATGCATATTTCATGTCTATTTTACCTTGGAAACAGCAGGACAAGCATCTCTTCTGACAGTTTCTATGCCTTTTGCATCAAATACTGGATCTTTTTGATCCAACGTTTCATACATATAACCAACATATCTCTTTTTGGTTTGCAATATACATGGCAAATAAACCTATAATAGGGAAACAAATGTTAGAAATTGCAAACTTGTATCAAAAAGGCAAATGTTTCTAAAACTATATACCCTTCATTAATGTAATCTTCCAACAAAGTATTTAATTTAGAATCTGAGTGACATAGTAGTCCATATGTGGCAGGCTTAGAATTCTATTTGCAAAATTAGTTGCTGTAGTACCTTGAAGACTGTCCTTTTGCCATGCTACTGGGCTGGGCCAGGCCTGGCTTCGCAAAGTCTGAAAGAGCTTTCTGGTGTGTGTCACAGCTCTGAAGCTAAGGAAAGCACCACAGTGCTGCACTGCACCAGAAAGTCCCTTTGTGCTGTGTGAAGCCCAACTCCAGCCTCAGTTGCCCTTGCCACCCTGCCCTGAAAAGACTTTTGTCCTCCAGGACTCTGTTGCCCAGGCTAACCTTCGCCATCTATTTGCTCCCACAATACATGCCCATCCTGGCCCTTCACAAGGTCTTACAAAGAAACTGCCACATGCAACCTTGAAAAGAAGAGTTTCATGAGGTCAGTTGCTGCCTTAGGAAGGGCGAAGCTAAACATGTTTAGGTCAGCTAGGGCAGCAGAGGCCATGGAATGCAGGAAGCCAAAAGGTTATAGACAGAAGGGGAGATAGACTGGTGGGGGGAGTTGGAGCATCCTTCCAGTCATAAGCGAGGGCAGGCTACAAAGTCCCTGACTTCTGACTGCATGGCTGTGGGGACACTTCAATGGCCAGGTTTATTATTATTATACTTGTATGCCGCCCTATTCCCGAGGGACTCAGGACGGCTAACAAACAAGTGGGGAAGGGGGAGATACAAAAAACAGATAAAAACCTACACAACAATCGCAACAATTAAAGTGGGGCTGGGAACTCATCACCCCCAAGCCTGCCGGAACAACCAGGTCTTGACGG